TGTTTATTTTCTTACCATTTGTGTGTTCAGAAGTGTCACTCCATTGAGTAGCACTTTTAGTTTCCCTCTAGAATTTTTCCTTTACAAATTGGCTGTTTGGTGCCAGAGGCCTACCTTTCAGCCTGTCTCAGTTTTTTGATGTGCCTTTCTCACTAAGCTTAATCATTTCTAGCTTTTGATCAAAAATCAGTGATGTATGACTCTTCCTTTCACTTGAATGGTTGGAGGCCAATGTAGGGTTATTCTCTGGCCTAATTTCAATATTGTTGTGTCTAGGGGAATAAGGAGGCTCATAGGCAGTGAGAGTTGGGGGAGCAACCAGTCAATGGAGCAGTCAGAACACACACAACATTGAGCAATTAAGGTTGCTATATTAAATGAGCATGGTTTGTGGTGTCCCAAAACAGTGACAATAGCAACATCAAAGATCACTCATCACAGATCACCATAACAGATATAATAATAATAAAGTTTGAAATTTTATGAGCATCACCAAAATGTTTCAGAGATATAAAGTGAGCAGATGTTGTTGAAAAATAGCGCTGATAGGCTTGCTGGATACAGGGTGGCCACAAACCTTCAATTTGTAAAAAAGAATACAATATTTGCAAAGTGCAATAAAGTGAAGCACAATAAAATGAGGTGTCACTATATAAGAATGAGCTACTACCTCTAGGGCTGGGGCAAGGTATTCAGAGAAAAAACAAATTTTAAGAAAGTCCCTCTCTTCAAGGGCTGAGATTCAGACTTTGTTGAAGAGGGTATGACTTTAGCCCACTGATGGCAGAAATTGCATTGAAATGATGCAAGATAAAGCTATCAAACAGAAAATTGTCCCTGGAATGATGAGTATCCTTTTCAGGAAGCCATTTTCTGGTGTACTAGTAGAACTCAGTGGGAATCTCTTGGCTCGGGTGCTCATGAGACTAGCTAGACTGAGCCTGGGTAGAATGCTGGTAGAACTTACTGGGAATCTACCTGTGGAGGTGTTATGAAAACAGCTGAGATGCCAGCAGAATTTCCTGGTATGTTGTCTGCTGGGGTGCTTGCAAAATTTGCAAGGAAGCTGGATATAGTGCCAGTGGAACTGTGTAGGAAGCTGCCTGCAGTGAGCACCACTATCCTGCACACTGCACAAGTGCTACAGGAGCAAGGAAAGAGAGGAAGCATGTCAGAACTAGGAGAAGAAGAGAAGCCTCTCCCGCAGTTTCCCTTCAGCACCCTCTATTGACAAAGCTTCACATCAAGCCAGCTGGTGAAGGAGAGACATTATCAAGGTCCAGCTCCATTAACAAAGCAGGGCTGTGATGAAGGGTGGATTTGATGCTGAAAGGGAATGTGTTGACAGCTAGCAGAAGAACTAAAGATAGTACCTAGGTCAATGCTGGTGCCACTTACTGAGGTGGGGAACCAGGAGGAGTCATTTGAGTTAAGATTGAGAATTCTCTTTGGGTGTGTTAATTCTGAGATGCCTAGGAGACACTTAAGTGAAAGTTTTGATTATCCAGATGAATATGTAAATCTGGTGCTCAGAGAGAGCAAGGGGCTATTTCCAACAAATTGCATGGTAACAGTTGAAAATCCACATAAAAAAATCAGAACCTCAACCTATATATTATACCTTATATAAAACTTAGCTCAGTTTGGATCATAGAACTACATGAAACTTAAATTATGAAAATTCCGGAAGAAAAAAATGGATATAGTTTTTGCAGTCTTGGGCTAGGCAAATATTTCTTAGACATAGCATCAAAAACATAACATGTCACATAAACTAATAAATTTGACTTCATCAAAGTTTAGAACTTCTGTTCTTTGAAAAACATTATTAAGAAAACGAAAAGATAAGCAGCAGACTAGTAGAAAATATTTGCAAATTGTATATCTGACAAATAATTAGTATCCACAACTTAAAAATAAAAAAAAAACAACCTAATGAAAAAGATGTGCAAAAATTTGAGCAGGCGCTTCACTAAGGAAGATACCCAGGTGCTCACTGTGGCAGCACATATATGAAAATTGGAATGCTACAGGGATTAGCATGGCCCCTGCACAAGGATGACATGCAAATGCATGAAGTGTTCATTTTTTTTAAAAAAAATGAAGATGCCCAGATTGCAAATAAGTACTTTGAAAGTGTTCAACACCAGTAATGTCTAGGGACATGCAAACGAAAACGATACTGAGATATCACTACTTACCTATTAGAATAGCTAATTAAATAAAAACTGACAACATTAAATGCTGGTGGGATGCAGAAGCAACTGGAACCTTCCTATTTCTGGTAAGAGAAAAAAATTGGAAAACGTTTTGACTTGGCAGGTTCTATAAAATCAAATTAAACACATCCTTATAATATGATCCAATAATCCCACTCCAAGGCATTTATCAAAGGGAAATTTAAAATTATGTTCCCACAAAATTTTGTATGCACATACTGTACTTAATCTGAATCTTCAGTAGGATGTTGACTAGGAACACTGAGAATGGTGGAGATGCTTTGTTTTTGAACTTAAAAGGGAAACACTCAGTTTTTCAACATTAAGTAGAATATTAGCTATAGCTTTTTTTGGGTAGATGCCCTTTATCAGGTTAAGAAAGTACCCATCTATTCTTATTTTGCCGAAAGGATTAGATGTTGAATTTTGCTGATGCTTTTTGCATATTGGTTGAGATGGTCATATGGTGTTTCTTCTTTAATGTATTGATTTGGTAAATTACATTGATGAATTTTTATTTTCTGAATTTATTTTATTATTTATTTATTTATTTTTTTGAGATGGAGTTTCACTCTTGTTGCCCAGGTTGGAGTGCAATGGCATGATCTCGGCTCACTGCAACCTCTGCCTCCCAGGTTCAAGCAATTCTCTTGCCTGAGCCTTCGGAGTAACTGGGATTACAGTCACCTGCCACCATGCCCTCCTAATATTTTGTATTTTTAGTAGAGAAGGGGTTTCACCATGTTGGCCAGGCTGGTCTTGAACTCCTGACCTCAGTTGATCCACCTGCCTCGACCTCCCAAGGTGCTGGGTTACAGGCGTGAGCCACCACACTTGGCTGATAAATTTTTATTTTTAAAATTATTTTAGATTCAGAGGCCACATGTGCATGATTGTTACATGGATATATTGCACACTGCTAGTGTTCAGGCTTCTGTTGAACTCAAGTTGATGGATTTTTAAATGTCGAATTAGCCTTGTATTTCTGACATAAACCCTACTTGGTCATTATGTTAATACCTAATGTATTTTATATTTCCTTTTTATGTGTCACTGGATTTGATTTACTTATATTTTGTTGATAGTTTTTGTGTCTGTGTTCAAAGGGCTCTTGTTCTGTAGTTTTTTTAACATGTCTTTGTCTGGGTTTGGAATGGTGTAATGCTGGCTTTATGAAGTGATTTGGGAAGTATTCCCTCCTCTTCTGTTTTCTGGAAGAGTTTGTGTAGAATTGGTATATATTTCTTAAATGTTTGGTTGAGTTTATCATTGAATTGATCTGGTCCTTAGTTTTCTATATTGGCAATATTGTGTCTTGGTCAGATTTGGGGCTTTAGAATCCAACAACCCCAGATTAATATCTGACTGTTAATTTCTCCCTGTGAGACATTGGGCAAGTCACACATTCTCTCTCAGCCTGTTTCCTCATATATAAAATGGATAACTGTGACGATTAAATTATAATATACATCAGTTATTGAATACTCTACTATATGTATTTATAGATAATACATACATGATGTTTGTATATATTAAATTATTTAAATTTTACTATCATACTGTACTGTTTACAGTACATATCAGTACTATATTATTATAATCCTTATTTTACAGATAGGAAAGCTATTGGAAAGCAAGATTAAATAACTTGCCCAGGATTACTCAGGTTGCACATGATAGAGTCGGTATTCAGATTGAGGCTGTCCAGTTCCAGAGTCCTGGCTTTTAAACACTAAGCTTTACTAATGATAATGCCTATCTTTCAGAGTGCTATGAGTATTAAATGAGGCAATTCATGGAAGTGGCTGAATTTGTGCTAGTAGAAGCTTGTTATTAAGTAAATGTGTGTTATTATTAATCATGTGAATTTTTATTATTTTGAAATGAAACTACTTTAGAACATTTTCAATCTGAAAGGCATTTTAGTATATATAAATAATCAAATGCTGCCTTAAAGTTTGTTGCTGAGAAATTCCATAAACATTTGCTGCACTTTACAACATGATATTGAGAATATCAAAGCTTCTTAGGAAAAGCAGCTTGATTTCTTGACCTGGTTCCACATTGTCTTTTTGTGTAATCTGGTAATTAAAGCTTGTGAAATACTGGTGAATCTGTAACAAATGGATAGGAAAAATATCTGTTTTTATCATTTTGTCCTAAGTTGTTGAGTAGTTTAAAAAAGACAAGTACCTGAAGATTTTTGATAAGTGCAAGATTGTGCTAAAATGAAATATAAATATTTGGTGTTCTGTGATAAAAATCAGAATCTTCTGTTTAAATATTTTGAGATTATTTTGAACATACTTGTACTGTGACTAGTATACATTGATGCCAGTTAATTTTAGGTTTTCAGGCCTTCATGGTAGTTATTCGGGCAATTCTTACTTTTCTTTTGGTCTGATGAGGTTGTGACTGCCATATGCCAAATGTTAGATTCATTCTGTTTATTTAAAAATTTTAAAGGATAACCTAAAAAGTGAAATTACAGATTCAATAAGTACTTTGTCCTATGTTTCAGTCAACAAGACTTAATTTAAGCTTTTTTTCAAGTGATAAACCTCATTATATCAAAATATATAGCAAAATGACACAGTATGTATGCCATTAATTAAGACTGGAAATGATGTGGAAGACTGGTACATTGGGCATTTTGACAGAGAGTAAGAAAAGACTTTGGTTATGAAGTGTAATGGTTATTGTGTAGATTGTCAAATGCAAAGTAACAATACTAACTCTGGGAAAATATAATAACATATTGCATTGTTTTGTGAATTGTAGCTGACTTTGGCCTGGCAAAGCAAAAACAAGAAAACAGTAAACTCACATCTGTTGTTGGAACAATCCTGTATTCTTGGTAAGGACAATTATTTTATGGCTCTCAAACATGCTTAACTGGTTCGGAGTTTCATTTCTATTATTGACTTGCAAAGGCAAGAGGATTTCAGGAAAGAAAGCTTATAAGTTTTTTTTCCAATTATCTTGGTAATACACATGACTAGAATTGTGGATCATTATCTATGCTTAAAATAACCACCACAAAAATAATCTTTCTTCTAAGGTATCACTGCCTTTCATGGGGATTACTTTTATAAATTGTAAATTGAAATGATCCTTGGCATACAGTAGGTGTGCAATAGTTGTTGAATGAATCTGAGAACAAAGTAACAGATATGCTACCCAACATGATACTTGGAACATTTTCTTGTAGCTACCTGTATGTATGACTCTTTTTCTTTTTTCTACCTATAAACATTCAAGTGTAGGGGCGAGGATTTTTTGTACCCTAGTACCTATCCTAGCATCTGGCAAATAATAGACATTGAATAAACTTTATTGCATGAATGGATAAATAATGACATGTATACTTACACATATGTTTGCAAAGTAAGTTGCTTCTTGGATAAATGAGTGTTTATGTTTTGATGAATTGAGACACTTTTAAATTCTTTGGCATACTTTGGAGGTTTCTTTGCAAGCCATTAATTATTATGAAGTAAGAATCTTCTTTTGCTGATCACATATCATTTGTCTGAATCTGTTGAAATTGGAACATAGTCCTGGTAGTGAGTAGAAAAGCAGATTTCAGGGAAATATTCTGAAATCCGATTCAACAGGTCAAGCAATCAAGACACTTCAACTTTTAAAAAATTTAACCTATAGTTATACAATTGAGTCTTGGGAATAGAATTAAACACGACTCTTCTTGAGGAAGGGTAGAAATTGTCTAAAAATAGCCTAATTTTACAAAGTCCTTTCATGCAGAAGTGTTCAGAATAATGTTATAAGAGGGTGACTTTTCATTTGTCTTACTGGAAATTCCTGACATCTCTATTCTTGAAACTAGTTTCATGAGAAGATGCAAAGAAACTGTGGCAGGCTAATATGTAGCTGGTAAGGTGCAAGATAGTCTTCTTCACCTCTTAACAATAAGGCTGATCTACTTGTTACTTGCTGACAGAAGAGTAATTTTCTTTTGTTTCACTTCATACTGTTTTTATGCAATAAACAATACAAATTTGATTATAAAAGTGTCAAGTAATCATATATTTCTGAACAAATTTGATTATCAATCAAATTGCAGAATAAAACACAAACTTAAATTTTTGCTGATCATACTTATTATTAAAAGCATATTTTTATTCCTGAGACTGTGAATTAAATTTAGAATTGCTCATATGATAGTATCAACTGTGTGTGTGTGTGTGTGTGTGTGTGTGTGTGTGTGTGTAAGAGAGAGAGAGAGAGAGAGAGTCTATAGAATATGTAGAAAGAGATCTAAAACATGACAACTTTTTTGCTGTGTTAGCTGAAACATGGATTCACATTTTCATTCAATTTTTAAATTAACTGAAGAGTTTGTAAAGCTGAACCTACTCATATAGATAAGCTGTTATTTCATGTAGGTGTGCTATGATTGTTTTAATAACATGTACAGTATATCTTTCTGCCATTTTTCTTTCTGTCAACCCCTTGTTCTTTTAAATTGCTTTAAAAATTTCTTTCTACTCCCTTTTCTCACCTCCCCAAGTTATTAGAAATGCCCCTTGTCTGATGGGTTTTACTATGAAGTGGGGCTCACTAACCATCTTTCTTGCTAGTTTTTGATGTCTTTGAGGATGGAGTTAAAAGAACTCAGTCCTACATCGTTTGTGTTGCTTTCTTAACTATTTCACTCAAATTCTTGTCTCAGATTCCAAAAGCAGAATCTGAGACAAGAATTTGAGTGAAATACTTTATTTGGGATGAGGTCCCAGGAAATACTAGTAGGAGAGAGGTGAAGTGAGACTGGGAGGTAAAGCAGCAAGTAACAGTGGACATTAATAATTAGGGTCATGGAGTATTATCTGGGATATAGTGTAGAGCACGGGTGTACAATCTTTTGGCTTTTCTGGGCCACACTGGAAGAGGAAGAATTGTCTTGGACCACACATAAAATAAATGAACACTAATGATAGCTGATGAGCTTTAAAAAGTTGCAAAAAGGCCTGGTGGTACAGTGGCTCACACCTTTAATCCCAGCACTTTAGGAGGCTGAGGTGGGTGGATCACAAGGTCAGGAGTTTGAAACCAGCTTGGCCAATATGGTGAAACCCCTGTCCCTCCTAAAAATACAAAAATTAGCCGGGCGTGGTGGTGGGCATCTGTCATCCCTGCTACTCAGGGAGGCTGAGACAAGAGAATTGCTTGAACCCAGGAGGCAGAGGTTGCAGTGAGCTGAGATCATGCCACTGCACTCCAGCCTGGGTGACAGAGCAAGGCTCTGTCTCAACAAAAAATGCAAAAAGAAATTTCATGATGTTTTTTTTTTTCCCATTTATTTATTTTATTGCATTTTAGGT